GAATCGGCTCATTCAATTTTTTCAAAATAGAGTGTTCAAAATCGATTTGAACCGCAAATGTTTTAGTACTGTCTATTTGGGGCCATCTGTTTCACAGAACTACAAAAATTGTCGGGTGGTAAAAAATGCCCTTTTTGGGTCAACTTTCTAGAGGCTTAAGGGCGACAAAGACACAGTCCTCTCTGAACATCGGCCTAAGTTGCCACGCATTAGTTTTTGTATAATTAAGATCGCGCTAGAGACGCGGCTCTCTCTCTCTCTCTCTCTCTCTCTTCTCTTTCACTCTATCGCATTGTCTCCGCATAGTTTTTCTCTCTAGTAGTTAAACAGAGAAATATTTGCTCTCTCCCTTAATTTAGTAACAACATTAAGTATAAGTACCTATCTGTTTCGTTAGTAACTCTTCTAAGTTTAGTTAGTAAGTCTTCTGAGTGTTCTTCGGTAGTGTGAGTGACGTGTTGTGAAAAGTGCCAGAAAAACAATAGGAACTAGGAACTGGTAACAAACAATTATTGACTTTGATTATTTTGACTTGGCAGTAAAGGCTTCATAGACTATATAATTGCCTTGAAAACTAAGACTATAAACTTCTTCTGCTAAGTGTTCTTCGCATTTGCTGCAGAGAAACCTTGTCCATTTTTAGTACTTATTTTTATTAAATATTAATGTTTAGTATTTAACCCGTAAATGTTTATTTCATTTCAAACTGAATCCACCCTATTTTATAAGCGTTCGCAACAAGTGCAATCGCTGTAATTGTAGTGCAAGTTTCGCAGAAAACCGCTACACAGAGGCAAGAATTAGATATTTGAATACTTAGTTTTCTTTTTGTATTTTTTAGTTATAAGCAGTTCGAGAATAAAAAAAATAAAATATCTATCAACATCCAATAAAAGACAGAGTGCGCTAAGGGTGTAGCTGCCGGACCGAAGCCAGACTCACGGGTGTATCAAGACATAAGGGATGACCCTGTACCTGAGTTTTTATATTAATAAATATTTTAAGCTGACTTCCATTGAATTATTTCTAATTAAATTCCTAGGTCGTATACGTCGTTGAAAAATGTACGTCCATAGTACGTACATTGTATATCCATAGTACGTACATTGTACGTACTTTCGATCATTTTACATCCAGTTTTGGTCCGGAACAAAACATAATATGTACGTACCTGGAATGTACGTATATGCGACATACATAGTACGTACTTTACAACATCCCAGGGACGTACCGGGGACGTACATAGCGTTGGAAAACGTCCCTAGTACGTACATAGTACGTACCTGTACGTACTTGTACGTACCAGGGACCTAACGTTCGTCCCAACATTACGTAGTACGTACCGTGGCTATATGGGTCCTGTGGCCGCACAAGATCACTTTCTGTGGTCGCACTTGTGTTGCATATACTAACATTTGGCTCGGGATCTCCTGTAATCCACGTAGTTTCGGGAAGATCCGTACCGTGTTGCTCGAAAATGGGCTTTTCAAACAGCTAATATTTAATTCCTATTGATTATTAAACAAGTACGATTTTTGAAAAAAATAACTGTATATAGGTTATTGAACGTACTTCAAGGTTATTTAGTAAAAAAACTATCTTTAAATAACCGGTTATTTTAAATGAAAATGCCGGTTCTTCTAAAAACCGGTTTGGTTTTGCCCATCTCTATCTGTGAACACTGTATATTTTTATTGGTATTTTGCATAACGATTATTTAAACATAGAACACCATAATATCGTCAGCAGCTTTCAATATCTATTATTACCAAGCTTGATCGTGATTTGTGTTTGCAGATATATCTGCAGTGGAATTCATGTGCAGTTCTATTTATTTCCGCTACTAAAATCGGATCGCCACTGCTAGTTAAACCCTTATCGTGATCCCGATCTTTCGAACATCCTACCCAGGTTTTTGCCATGCAATACACCGTCTTTATTTTAGTTTAATAATAATATAAATTTCAATTGGTTAACTGAAATTTAACGTTAAACTTTGAATCTTGATAAATTATACTAATTTTATTTTTTCTAATTTTTACACATAGGTAGAATGTAGAATATTTAGGAGGAGGGTTAATCTCACCGCGACCTTACAGATCTATTGTGCATTCCACTTTTTTGGACGTTTTTCAACGCCTTTCTTTTCATCGTCACTAAGAGAGTTGAGATCCAAGAATTGTATTACACCATCCCACAAAACAGTCAAACTGGCCTTAGTTGTTGGTTTTAAAAGACCTTTTTTTCTTGAAGGCTTCAAAAATTCTTGGCGGCTGAACCGGTGCGAAACTCCTAAAAATTATGTTTTTTTCTCAGCAGTCTGGCAACGGCCGGTAAAAATAAATATGGGCATGGAAACTACAAACCTTCTAGCATCTATTACTACTTTTTGGTAACTATCGGTAACTCAAAAAATCTGAATCATTCAATATATCGACATTTGAAAAAAAAGTTTGATATCTACAGAAAAAAGGTAACAAATAATATACATACAATATAATAGTACATAGCATTGACAAATTTAAAATAATTTGGTTTTGGAATAGAATTTGTAAGCACTAGTAAATATTTTGTTTTCGTATGACCTCTACCTTGCTGAGCAGAAAACAACTAAATTTCTTTGATAACAATGTATCAAAATACAAAGAATACAGGGAGTTTCCTACGTTCTCTATGTGTATCTCGGAAACCACCGAAGATAGAGAGTCGGTTAAATGGGGAAAGAATTGGAGTTTTGTGGGGTCGTAATAAATATGCGCCTTCCAGATTTTTCAAAAAGTTCATGGCTTACTACTAGATATTTTGAGAAAAAAAACAAATTTTGGCTATTTTAATAATTGTCCCTAATTTCATTATAATCTATTTTAGATAAAAAGTTTTCAGATAAAAGTTGTATCCCTAATGATTTTGTGTTCTCCGATTTTTTCTAAAGTCTGTCATTTTTGACATAGGACACATATGATATTTTTTTTAATTGGAAACCCTGGTTGGCCATGACTTCATAATACTACATACATAAATACATACATGACTTCATAAAAGCGCAATTTTTTAGGCTTTTCAGCGATATAAGCTCTAAGTAATATGTTTTTTTTTCGAAAAATTTATAGTATAGAGTTATAGCCAGTTCTTATATCTTTCTTGACTAATTTCACTTAGTGGGTATGGTATTATTATTTTTTATGATTTTTAACTTATAAAAAGAGAGAAATAGTATTAAACGGTTCTTTACAATTTACATTACACAAACTAAGATTTAAAATATAATATCACTAGTACATACATTATACAAGTTATTTGGGAAAATGTTCCGTCATTGTTTTGAGTACATAAATGCATCTTTTTAAAACTGAATTACTACAGAACGACCGGTCGACTTAATTAAATTTCTCCCGTACCGCCTTTTGTTAAAACTTCTTGTAAACCTTGTTGTTAATCACACCGCATAAAAAAAGATTAAAATGAATAGGTTAGGCGATCGAGGAGGCCCATGCAATTCCTCTTCCTATCCCTGAGTTATGATATAAATAATTTTTAACATTTTTTTTATTATGGGGGGTTAGGTTGTAGTTTGGTTTGGTTACGTTAGGGGGGATTAGTTTGGTTTGGTTATTATGGGGGAGGGGGTCATAATGAAAGTCACGTTGGAACCACTCTATTGATGCGCGAGTATCCAAATTTAACTTTTCTAACAAGTCTTGAAAACCGTTCTCTAAAAAACGTAAGTAACGTTCACCGGTCAACGTCGAAAATGTATGGCCAAGAAAAGTTGGACCAATAATCCTCCACGCTTTTCTTCATTTGAAAAATTCATATTTACAATTTTTGTTTATTGTAATTTACAAAGTTTGGAAGTGACAGTTTCGCATTTCACGACGATTGATCTTGTTTTCATGGCTAACTAAGTGAAATTTTTTAAAAATGATAAGAATTGGCTATAACTCAATAATTTTTCGAAAAAAAACATAATATAGCTTACATCGCTGAAAAGCTTAAAAAATGGCGCTTTTATGAAGTCATGGTCAACTATGGTTTCCATTTAAAAAAACATATGTTGGTGTCATATGTCAAAATGACAGACTTCGGAGAACACAAAATCATTAGGGATGTGATTACCTACAACTTTTATCTGTAAACGCTTTGTCTAAAATAGATTATAATGGAATTAGGGACAATTTTTAAAATAGGCGAAATTTGTTTTTTTCGAAATATCTAGTAGGCCATGAACTTTTTCAAAAATCTGAAAGACGCATATTTATGACCCCACAAAACTGCAATTTTTTCCCCATTAAACCGACTCACTATCTCCAGTAGTTTCCGAGATACCCATAGAGATCGTAGGAAACTCACCCTGTATGTACGACCAAAAATTAACTGTTGCATTTTTATATCAATTGAAAATTACTATTTATTACTATCACATTACTATCTACTATTTATTTTTATCAAGTACACATTTTTTGGCTTTTTTCTAACAAAACGGTTTTGTCCCGCTAGAATTACCATCCGCCGCACCGCGTGTCGTAGCGTAGCTTTATAATCTTATGTTTTGCCGTAATCAAATGCTTTTCGCTAAGGATACGTTCTTTCCAATCGAAGACCAGCGTATCAAACCGCAAAAATATACTCTTACGCATAAATGTGAAACCATGTAAAACGCACGAAAATGGAACACCCTGTACAGGACAATAAAGAATTTAAAATATTCACTTATTTCATATATGAAATTATTAAAAATATAATTTAAGTTTTAAGCTGTCTAAACGCTGCGCTAAACATGATTGAAAAGAACAATACAACAACGCGAAAATCGATTATTTGCAAGCATTTAAAGTTGCGTGTTAAAAACTAAATTTCCAGATGACTCATAATATTAAAATATCCCCAAAAGAACAATTTAATTCATTAAGAAAATATTTTGTATTACTTACTAGGTATACTGACACACATTTGCAAATTTTCAAAATTGATTATACACGAAATATTATTTTTTAACTTACCATTAGACTCATCGCACCGAGCGAAGTCACAGAGGATCAGCAGAAGCAGGAGCCACTTCCAACGAGGCGAAACGATTCGCCGTTCACGATCCATCGTCACTCGGTCTTTTCACATCGTTCTGGCTTTGTCGCGTTTGGCTGCGCCATTCTGCACTGTACTGCACCGAACGCGGTTCGCCTGGATATGGGGAGGAAACGCATGCGCCCCTACGTCACCGGAGGCAAAGGGTGCGAGGGTCTTAATTTTGCATGACCCCAATTTGCGGGTCGGGGAGGTCGCGGTCTAAGAACCCGCTTCGCTGTCGACACTTGCGGGAGGGGATGTGGAGGAAACTGGAGGAACAGGCCCAAGAGGTTTCCGGTTCGGTCAACGCCTTTGAAGTGTTTCTCCGATTAAGTTATTTCGTATTTTATTCATTCAACAATTAGTAAACGTTAAGATATAATATGAAACTAGACTATATTTTTAAATAAAAAAAGTTTTTTTGTTTAAAAATATAGTCAAGTGGGATTAATAAAAATCAATGTCAAACCACTATAAAATTATTTATGCTTGACCGAGTATTATTGTAATATTTGTTGTCATCGTCATCACTATCATCATTTTCAGCTTATTCAACCATTTCCAATTATGCTATACCTACTGATTTTGTAATTGGGTCAATTGTTCTCTATTGGCTCTGCGGGCCCAAGTTATCCCTGCTAATTTCCCATACAGCACGTCCAAATGAAATTACGTTTCTACAAGGGAGACACATGAGGAACAAAATATGTTAAAGTGAACCTAAGTGTTCATCTAGTAACATATACATATGAGATACACGCAGGTTTATATTGTTAGAATTGTGTGATACAGTGTTTACTAGTTGTATACCGTATGCACTCAAGATTCTCCATCTCAGGTTTGGTCTTCCTCTAGGTCTCTTACCATGGGTACCATGCAGTAACTTTTGTGGTCCATCTGTTGTTCGTCCTTCTTGCCAGGTATGGTGTGGACCATTGCCACTTGATGGATTTGATTCTGTTGATGACATGTATTGCCTGGGTCTTTTGTCGTATCCACTCTCTCGTCTTTCTTGATTGTTCCCAGCATATATTTCGTTACATTGAGCATCTGTGATCAGTAGTTTCCTTATAATATCCGTTGTCCAATAAGTCATGACTGGTAATACACATTGGTTGAATATTTTCTTCTTTAAATAAAGTGGCATTCTAGCTTTGAATATGATTGAGTTGCTTCCATAAGTACTACATGCTAACTTGATTCTTCGGTTAATTTCTGCTAGTAGAGATCCCGAACTGTGTATTAGTTTTCTCAAATATACATATTCTTCTACTATTTCCAGTGTTGTGTTATTTATTAGACTCTCTTTTCTGTCTACTAGTTCGCTGTACATTACTTTAGTTCAAAAAGGCACAATTCTGGCTTAAAGTTATTCATAATTACTAAATTACTATTATTAATGTGAGACAGATTAATTGAGTTTGAACTTACACTAGAGTCTCTTAAAGAGGTATTACTTAAACTTAGATTTTTAAAAAATCAGATAAATCTTCAATATTTGTCATTAAATTGCACTTACATTAATAAAACGAAGGTTCTGTTCATCTCTTCTATAAGGATGGTGGTTGGATCAGCGATTTGGTCTTATCCAATGGTCACCTACCCTTGCGAGATTGGCGATGTGGTCCCAATACTCCGATGTTCACGTTCTTCGCAGCTTGTCGCCGGTTCTATGATAGAAGGGATTTCTTTGATGTCTGAAGAACCACTCCGGGACAGTTTTTACCGAAAAGTTTGAGATCACCACGGAATACTTAGTAAATTGTGGAAACAAACTTGCTCAACTCGATGTGATACGATCTGAGTATCCTACCGACTGCGCCACTTATAATACGAGACAATCTTCTTTTTTTTAATTTTATTTTACTTTTACATTAAAGTTACTTATAAAAATAAAATACAAAAGTTAAAATTAATATATCTAATTTACTTAAAATCAAATATCTGTGAATATAAAATTGTCTGTTAGAAAACAAGGAGATTCGCAATATGCACACTAAGCACTATCCAGCACTATGTCAGCAGTTTTTCATTGTATAACTCAGGACATAACTTATATTAAGCTTAACTTATATTAAGGCCCTATTTATGCCAAAATAAATAAAGCTAAACCATTTTAATTCCAAATAAAAGTATATTAAAAAAAAGTAAACATTTGAAGTTAACGTCTCCTTTTTGACTGCCAGGGCTAATCTGAACGGGGCCTACTTTGTTTACGCAGAATCCGAACCGCGGTCCTCGGCCATATCATGGTCAATGGCCTACCGACTTGGCAAGTGTCTAAATCGACTCTTACTCACGAGATATCCGATCTCATCCGGCCTCGAACCGGCGTGAATGAGCAGTGTGTGTCAATACATTTTACACTTTTGCCTTTTTTGGACAACAGCACGATACAGGGTTTCGAACCGGTCACCCGTCCATCCACTAGTATCGCCTTAAGTCGCTTAACTTCGGTGTTCTAATGGGAACCGGTGTTTCGACGTAGCTGGGCCGTTACTCTAAAAGTATATTACTGATATAATGAGAAAACATTTGACAGAAAATTGTAAAACAGGTTATGTATGTTGCAATTTGGGATGAATTTACTATCTTTATTAAGTTTAAATTGACGACCCTATACCCTATGATAACAAAACGGTCAAAATCAATTTTCCTCACTGTGGACCCGTGGACATATTAAACTAACCAAAGATGTTTGAGAGAAACTGCGTTTACGTGACTTAACCTCATTTAGCCCAGGGCTGACATCGGACTTAATTTGATTACACAGGTCTACAAAAAATTTTTGAAATTGGTGCTGATAATTCCATATTATAATTTGATTAACTAATCCCCAAGAAGTCAAACTGCGTGCAGGTTATTATTTCTTGCCATTCAGTCGAGTTAAATGCATTTTATGTCTAATTTCAGGAGGTTTAAGCTTTTATTTAGGGTATATATTGTGGATTTGCCTTTTCTGAGTCCATATTGGATTTCATGTATCATCGTAATCGTAACAAAGCTAAATAATTAAATTCAGTGAAATACTATAGATATTCAAAACTACTTATAAAAAATTACTATAATCAAATTAAATCAGACTTTACTATTTATAAATTTAATAGTGTATAGCATTTAATTAAGAAGGTGCTTAAAATAATACCCCAAAGTAAAACAATACAAGCCCTTGTAACTTTTCCAATAGCAGCTGAGCACGGTATTGTTGAACAGGGTGAACTCCAGGAACTACAGCTGCATCAGCAAGGCCAATTCTTTGTTGAGTTGAAAAACAGGGTGGATGTCTCGACACCATGTGATTACGTGCAAGTGTATATAAGATATTCAGAAATGAGTAAATAAAAAACCACCAAAAAGAAAAACTGTGGTCAATATTCAAATAAATATTTATGGCTTTTAGGTTATGATACCTTACCCCGAAACGTAACTAACACCCCCTTATCCGACTACCACTGATTATGAGCAAAAACTAGCGGATCCATTCAGCAATGTCCAGATCTAAGGAAAATTGTTAAAAGAATAAGAAAATGGTAGAAAAACGGGAATAAGATAACTTACCCAACATCTGGCCACATAGCACACCAAAAAAATAATATCAAATATACTTTTGATTCAAGTAACTTTGTCATACATAACATAATCTATAATACTTTTCCAACAATATCCAAATATTCTACTTCTTTAAGATGAATTATACAAATACAGAAACTCTTACAAGGAAAGACCAGAAAGGTAATCTCCTCTCGATCGCCACGCCAATATGGCGATCAGAGGGAAAAGAACAATGACCGACCCAAATGAACCTCCAAAGATTTGATTGACATCAGAAAACGGAAGTTAGCGGCGTTGCCGTACTAACCAAATAAACAGATATTTTGTGGGAAAATATTTAAAGATAAATTGAAAAGAAACTGTCAATATTGCGTAGCTCACCTGTTGCTGTTAAATAAATATAAAACATATGAAGACATATTAAACTTTTATAATTAGTTCAAAGAGAATTATAAACAAATAGGGTAAGTCCGGTAGAGATGCCCCACTTTTCTTTTGGGGCTAATAATACATATTGGTAGTTAATTTTAAATGAAACTAATGATGCAATCCTAAACTATCTTTAATAATAATTCATAATAGGACTAAGATAGTAATATAATAAGTAAGTATATATAATAGTAAGAGAAAAAGAAAAAATAGAAAATTGGCCATCTCTCCCTACGTTGCGGGAGAGATGGCCCTCCAACATGGGAGAAATGCCCCGCAAAAAAATACATATACATATTGGTTAAATATCTAAGGTTATTTTTTATTTTTTTAACTCATATCCAAAAGTTGAGGATGGCCCTATGCTTGCTTTTTCTGTTTTGTTGTTTGCCTTCCTACGTCTCAAAGTCCTTGCAGGGATTCCAAAAGCATGCATTATGCTTTTATGCCCATTTGGTCGGTATTAATGGCTTGCAAAGCAGCAGCCAATGATTTTTCAAACCACTGAGCGCTTTCGGAACATTTTATTTTATATTCAGTTAACTGAAAAGTTACTATTTATTAAATAAATTAGTAGGGCATCTTTACCAGCTTTCTATGTGGCATCTCTCCCAATACGATGGGGGAGATGCCCCACCGCAAGGTTTTAAAATGCAGCGACATATGATTAATTTTTTGAAGTTATGATACTTCACAAAGCATGTATTGTAATATAAAATGGCATGAAATACCAAAAACTTACATAATATTATGTTATTCCCACGCGACTTCTGACAGTAAAAAATATGTACTTATATAAAAACAGTTCTTTGTAAAAACTAGCCTATTTTTATTAAAAAATGTCTATACCTATGTGGCGGATTCATCTATCCAAAAAAATCCTTTATGAGTATTTCGCCACTGCACTATTTTTTTATTTTTTTTATTGACATTCAAATTATGTCAGACCATAATAGCAGCAGGTGAACTACTGCCGTATCTAGCGGGAAGCAACTGATAAGCGACATGATTAGAAAAATACACGCTGTGGCCATCTCACCCGGTGGGGCATCTGTACCGAACATACCCTAATTATTTAATAATATATAGCGATTATTTTAGATTTACCTGAAATATCTAAA